TATGTGTATGTATGTATGTGTGTGTATGTATGTATATACACTCCCGAACCCTCGTATATATCTAGCTATAACTGAAAAATCTTAGACAAAGTTAATCCCCAACCCCCTTTCTGCTGTTTGCCCAGGTACTCATAGCTGTGATGATGCTGATACTGTGGTCGACGAATCTACCACAGGCCAAATCCTTTGATCTTCTCGACTTGTTTTCTGGGGTCGGCAACGCCAGCAAATATTGGAGCCTAGCAAGTACTTGGCAAGCCGTTTGCAATTCGATATTCGTGGATAGACAGGGTTTGGGATTAGGGTCATATATGGTTCAGGGGTGTTCCCTTCCTTCCTACTTCCCAGGAAGTCTAAAGGAAAGACTGTGGCCACCATTGAGATCAATCGGAGTGCCTCCATGGACTTTCTCTCCAATGGTGGTTTCGTGCAGCTTGGTCAAGCCTTAGCACCAAATGCCATCGATCAGGACAACTTGCAACGTGCAGGGATGCTCCGAGTCTAGTGGGTTCGCAGTCTGAGGCTTGTGCTATGGTGTATCATGCGTGAGAAGCCGACGGCTGTGAATTTGATGGGCCCGGATTGCTCCTCCTGGGGTGTTCCCAACAGGGGCACAAGTCTTAGATCCTTTATCAATGCCCGGGGTCAGGATGGCTTCGCAAGTGTGGCCAGAGCGAACATCATGATCAGCCGGCCTCGTCAGCTGCAACTATGTGAGTGCAGTGTGCTTGTTTCGTGGACACAGAAGGCTTTGCAGTCTGATGTTTCATCTAAGTGTTGTTCTAGCAATACTGGTCATGACGGCTATGCGCACTACATGGGTATTGGAACACCCATCCTGTTCGCTCCTACACAAGCACAACCGCTTCGAATGGCTCCTCAATTCCGTGCTCTACGCAGCTTGGTTATGCACCCTGCAGTCTAGCATGCATCCAGCTAGTTCTTGTTCAAACCATATTGGTCTAAGGTCTACGGCCAAGCTTTCTGGCTGATGCATTGGGGTAGCCCCAGCCCCAAGCGCACCAAGATATTCTCGAATTCGCCCCGGGTCAAAACCCTGGACCGTGGTGTGCTCAAGAAAAACCTGAAAGCAACCAAGACAAAAATCCGCACTACTCGATCTTCAGCTGCATTATAGCATGGGTCCCTAGTTTGGGAGATTGGTACTAGTCTGCCCTTGCTGCCAAAGGACGGTGGAAGGAAGCCGACGGCTCCGAGCGCTTCGCGGGCACGAGCAGCCTGAAGGATGCTGGGTTGCTAGACATGCATATGTCGATCTATATTACTTTAAAAGGCCGTAGAATTACATGCTCGAATCTCGAAAAGCCCTGAACACCTAGAACCCTATAACCCCAAAAAACCCTAAGGCCTGCCCTACTTCAGGGGTGGGAAATGTGCAGCCTGTGAGCTTGTGATATAAGTTGTGCAGGATCGTATTATTTACAGAATGGTCTCAGCTGAACAGCTACAAGTGCTACTGGCTGCGATAGTAGTCATCCCCCTGCCACGACTACTGCTACTACTTCGGCTGCTCCTGCTGCTGCTGCTGCTGCTGCAACAGTACCGTATGATCTTATTCTTATTCAATCTGCGGGTTCATTTTGAGATTAAAGGTTCGCTTTAGAGGGTTGGGGTTCAAGGGTTTGGGGATTGCTAGGAGGCGACATGATCATGCATGGCCTCGCCAGGGCTTCCATTTGCCGGCTTCCATCCCATTGCTGTTTGCTCATGACCTCATTGGGGTCCGGAGTCCAGGGCTCTGATCGCCACTCACGGTCGGGGTCGTGCCGTGCTGTAGGCTTGGTAGTTCTCGGACTGGAGCAAGTCCCGCATCGCTTCGACACGAGTCGAGTTCAAGCGAAACGAAATCGTTTCCAGTTGCTTCTGCCGGCTGTCAGAGCAGCTTCGGCCACGTGCATCCGATATACTTCTGCAGAAGCAAGCCACGAAGTCTCCAGATGATCCGTTAACTTTCTAAAGCTACCCATATCATCCCCTAGAAGTCCCTTAGTTCCCAATGAATTCTGAATCCACCTAGGTAAGATTATTGGGTGCACGGCCTAACCCGAAAGTTGTTAGGGAAATAGAATGATCTTCCTATATAAGTCCTATAACCCATAACAGGCCCAACTTCATCTTAGACCCAAAAAACCAGAAACTATTCCGAAACACACAAGCCCTGTTCTTGATCAAACGATTTTGTGCGATCCCTATGCAGACCTTCCTACTAAGCCCGCTAGTAGCATTATACTCAGCACTGTCGTTGTCGTTCTAAATAGTAATATTGAGAGAACATTTCCTCGATCCTGTGCCGACGCCCCAGCAAGCCTTCGATCCTATAAAACCCAGAACAACCAGAGCTTGAATAGGTCCAGAATCAATAGTGGCCTATATAAATCCTGGAGTCGCAAAGACTTATATAAACTCCTGGTCAACCCTGGATCTTCCGGGCTAACATAATTGTAGAAGCCCCAGACCCTGAGTCTATAAAGCCAACAAGCCAAGCCCCTATCCTAAACACTGGCCTCCTAAACCCTGCAGGAATCCTATACAAACCCGAACCCCGTAATCTGTAGACCGAACAGCTGAGGGTCTATCCCATGGACTTTGTGAAACAAATCTTCGAAGCTTTCGCTACAGACTGTGTGCCCGAAGCATTGGGCTGCCTACGCCACAAAAACACCACCAACCCCGACTTGTCTGACGTGGAGTTGTTTGCTGCCCTGCCAATGAAGGACATGTGGGAGGATGCACATTTGCCTTCAGTTTATTTCTACTTGAGAAAGAACAAGTACATTATGATACCCTCTTGTTGGGAAGATGCGATCCTTGCATTTGAAACAGAACTGGATTCCAAGGTGTCTTGGGCTCGATTTCTGGAGTCTTATAAACCCTATAAAGCCCAAATCCTACATAGACCCTATATGACCCCACCCTATAGACCCCAAGCCCTCAACCCAAGCCCAGCCGATTAGAAACCGAAAAGACCCACAGCTTAAGCAACGACCCGCAAAGGTGAACTGCTATGGGGACCTCAGGGAGGAGTACAATTCCCTGCTTATGGGCAGGTCTGGGCAGTGAGAGGCCAACAGGGCTCCCGCCGGTCGTCGCTTGTCGCAGCAGCAGAGATATGGCCTGCAGGAAACAGGCAAACCCCAGGGTCATTTCTAGGCTAGGTCTAGAGAGGGCCAAGGGTCACGTACGTTTTTTAGGTTGCACGCGCGTTTTTTGGTTTTGGGGGCTTGGGGCCAGGAAGGGTAGGGCGCAACTCGCGCGCAATCTCGCGCAACTCGCGCGCAATTCCCCGCAACTCGCGCGCAATTCAGATTTCCGTATGTGGAGGGTTTTGGCACGCACGTTTTTTGAGGTGCACGCGCGTTTTTTACTTCCCGCACTCTTTTCCAGGTTGCTAAGCTTGATATATAATAGACCCGGGTCCAGTCCTACAGGCAGCTTGGGGATGGAGTGTGTGGGGAACACATATATTATAACTAACGTGCATCTCTTGGGGACAAGGAAATTGTTTCTGTGGGCCCGGGCTTATGGTAAGCCATTGTGTATAAAGATACCTAAACGTGTGCTGCAGCCCGCTTGCCTGCTTGATGTCTTGTCAGAGAACTTGTTCCCTCATTGCTCCCAATGCAGAGCGATTTTGTAGCATGGCCACTCTGGGTTCCTTAGAGACCCTGACCGACGGTGTCGTAATGGTGGCCCGATCCTGGAGCAACATGTCGGAGATCCCTGAAGCTGAGCTGGATGAACACATCAAAGCTCTTCATTTGCACTGATTTTGTGAGCTTGGCACATCTCTCTCCTCTTCCACTGAACCTGTTTTTCCTTTACCCAAGACCCAAGGCGGCGCAAGCCAACCTCAGTCAGCTTCAGCAACAGCTAGCTGCTGTTGAGCCCGAGCCGATTCCGGCTGCAGTGCCAGGCATGCACCAGACGGATTCCGATAATACTTGTGTGTCATAACATCATGCAAACATACCTGTTTCTTTCCCGCAGGTGCTCCTTCCGTGGCCACTTCCAGTGGTCAGTTTGCCCCTGGCAATGTGTGTCAAAAGCTTGGGGTCCTGCCACGATCCCACACCACCCGCATGCTGCAGGGATCCTCGAAATACGACAACGACAACAACGAGCCCACGGAGGTTGCTTCAACCCCCGGCAAGACCCCCAAGCCCCAGGAGACTAAGTCGATCGAGGTTGATGACAGCCCGCTGGTGCCCAGTGCAAGCAAGAGCAGCCCCAGAAGCCACGGCAAAGGCACACGCCCGGATGTTCGAAGGCAGCTGTTTGGGAACGCCCCGAAGCGGGCATCCCCCAAAAAAAAAGCGGCCACACCCAAGCCGGAGGGCTACTGGAAGTTACTTGTCCATCTCGTACAGTTGCAATTGTTGCAAGTCGTCAAACTAATTGATCTATCGAGCTTATGCATGAACTAAGGGTTCGTCGCCACTTCAAGCCCACTTCCAAGGGCGAGCTGAAATGCAGCCCGAAGGTCCTTGAACTGGGAAAGACCGCCGACGGACGAGTCTTCGATTGATTGGGGTGCCATGATATCTAGCTATACATACTTTGTATTGAAATGTTGCTACATGAGGTGAGCAGCTTCGCAAGCTCCTGCTGGATCATGGGTCGTTTGACAAGATAGAGGGGGTCTTGGAGAGGTGGCACCAGCAGAAGAAGCAATCGGCAGAGACGGGTGGACTTGTGACAAAGGAGTGGCTGATCGCTAAGCGGTTCTATACCCAGCTCCCTTCCCGCATTAGAGCTTTTAGCTTGTCCGCAACGGTAAAGCTAGCATCCCCGAAAGCAGCTGCCTCCAATGTCGTTCATCTGCATCAGGACAATGGCAGACAATGCCTTTGAGTGGGCGAAGCGGAACGGGAAGTTGTTCACTTCGGAGGTTCATGGGGCCGAGGAGGCTGACATTCCGCTAGAGTGGAAATGGAGCAATACCAATGAGTCGGGGCAGAAGACAGGGTTTTCGAGCTCTTTCAGCATGGATGTGCCTCGTCTTACAGGTGTTCCTCATTTCCCGCTTCTCTCTCTCTCTCTCTCTCTCTCTCTCCCTCTCTCTCATCCCCTCACGCCGTCTGTATCTCAGCTGGGTCGCATTCACTCACGCCTTGGGCCCTTATTATTATAAACCCCATAAACCCTATAAACCCCTAAACCCTATATAACCCTAAACCCCATAAACCCTGAACCCCTAAACCCTACATACCCTATCCCCATAAACCCTATCCCCTAAACCCTATATAACCCTATCCCCATAAACCCTAAACCCCTAAACCCTATATAACCCTAAACCCCATAAACCCTAAACCCCTAAACCCCATATAACCCTATAAACCCTACAAACCCTATAACCCCCGCAAACCCTAAGCCCTATAAACCTATATAATATTTAAACCATATAAACCCTATCCCTATAAACCCTAAACTATATATAAACCCTATCCCTATAAACCCTAAAACCCGTAGATACTGCTCGGCCCAGGACCCGGACTGTGCTTTGCTGGACAAGGACAACGAGGACCTGGGCCACTTCGAGGTTGCTAAGACCGCGGAGAGGGCCAGCGATTCCGTTGCCACGGCTCAGGCAGGGGCTTCGTTTAAGACCCTCGGAAAGCAAGCCACCCGAAGTCTTGGTTTGTGCTTTACAAAGACAAGTGGAAACATCAACCATTCCCAGGATGTGCTTTCCTAGCTTGCAGCAAAACGCCTCCCCGCTTGGGCTGCTATCCAGCTACATCTGTGTGCTCGGGAAGAAGATTGACTTGGCTGAGACAGTGAAGGAGCTTGCTTATATGCACAAACCTAGATAGTATGTGTATGCATATTTGAGTAACGTTATATTTACAATGTGTTAACTCATTATAGTTAACCTACAGCTCTATAGATGTATGAGTAATTCAGCACTGGTAGTTCAAGGGGCTCGACCACTACATCACTCAGGTATAGCAGGGCTTTTGCAGGTTTGGATGTTCGGAGCTTTAGTACCTTTTCAAAAGTGTGGGGCTCGGGATGTATAGAGGCTTGGTGAGCTTCTGAATTCATGGGGTTTGCAATGATCTGCTTCTGGTCCTATGATCATTCGAGGTGTTTGTATACGGGTTTATCGGAAATCCAGCACAACTCTTTCTGGAAGTTCGGAGCATAAATCCCAAAGCCCAGCAAGCTTATATCAAAATCTGGATTCCTTTTATTTGTCCAGCTTCAGCCCTAGCGCCAGGAGTTCAAGTCCCTTGTAGAAAACCCTCCGAAGCCAACGTGCTATAGCAACAGAAGGTTCATAAGAGGCTATACTACATAGGGCATAGATTCAACTTAGTGCCACGAAAGGTTTTGCACCGGTTATATAGCTAGCTAATGGGGGATACTTAAGTACTGGGGGATACCTTGTGAACCTCAAATATATAAGCCCTAAATTAACCCTAAAAACCCTATAAACCCTATCAGCCCGATTCTTGTAGAGATATCCTGGAGTCCTGACACCGTGTCTGGGCAGTCTAGCCAGGACAAGGTCCAGGGCAAGAAAGGGGAGAAGGCATCCGAGCAGCTTCCCAAAATTCTACAGTTGGTGTGTTATCGGACTAGATGCACATGACCTTCAATAGCCGAAGCCCCTCCTATCTTAGGCTCTGCAAGAACTTGACCACCTGCTTGAAAGACATGAATGACTGCTACCGGAAGTTGACCGATGTGCAAGCCAGTGCGGCGACCACCGATAATGAGGCGGAGATTGCCAGGCATTTTGGGGAAGGTTTGCTTGGGGGTGTGTAGATCTCTTGAATCATGCTGTCCTAGGCTCAAAAAGGAATCCCTCCAGATTTACATCCAGTGCACCAAAGCAGACCTGGCGCTCAACAACTACGTGGTCAGGTCCAGGCTCTTTTGCTGCGAACAATTCAGCTACATACTCTATCTACCTAGATGATTCTAGAGAAGTTTATATAAAGTGTGCTGCCTCCAACCTTGGTTTTTCTTGAATCCCAGCTTCCCAAACTTTACGAGCCCAACAAAAATAAACCGTTTGCAAGCCTTCAGAATCTTATTTTTGGAAGCCACGACAAACCCCTTAAGAGCCTACACCAACCCTATATGAGTAACTTACCTATGTATTCTAACTTCCATGCCCCTTCCGAACTCAGGAGCATCAAGGGTGCTCCCAGCACCCCGGCTGGGAAACCGAAGCAACGGGCCAAGGCAAAGGCCAAATCGGCGCCAAAGGCGAAAGCAGTGGCCAAAGCTCCTGCAAAGAAGCAGAGGAAGTGAAGCTGAGTGCATCCAGTACTGGATCGAGCTTTGTTCGTGCTCTTACGAGCCCGACTGTCTGTGATTTCAAGATTGCAGACTCATGATGATTTGCAAGTGCAGCGCATGCTGTCTTAACCGCATGGGCCAATCCTCCCACATGAGTGTGTGTGCCGCAGCAACAAAATTGCGAGATTCTTTTGTTCCAGTCTGTGCACTACTGGCTGTGTTGCATTGCATGGCAAAGCTTCGTAGCTTCGACAGTTAACCAGCTGTTGCAGACACAAGACATAACCCTCCGCAGGTCATGATGTGGAGTGTTTCGACACGTGTGGGGCCCTCAATGACCGAAATCTTCGATCTTCTCAATTGTACTCCCTCAAAATATCCCGACTGCCCAGGTCCTGAGGATCCGGATGATAACCAGGACGATGGCTTCATTGATGAGCTCCTGGTTGGGCTGTCTTCCGGGGTCCCTCGCAATATTGTTTATTGTCCGAGTTAAACATAACCCAGTAGTGGGGA